CCGGGAATCACCAGTGTGACCTACAGCCTGCTAAGCCGGCGGGCTCCGCCCACAACCTGCATTGCCACCCAGCAGCCATTGCGAAGAACTATCGGTGAAAGCTGCTTTGTGCTTCCATTGGCTTCTAATAGTGGCCCCTAGGCTCTCTCTTGAGCCCTGGGGGCACCGTGGGCTGCACTGCTAACTGCAAGATCAGTAGTTCTAACCTGCCAGTGGATGTGAGATGGAAAGATGAGGCTGGCTATTCTCATAAAGATTTACAGCCTCAAAACCCTAGGGAGCAGCTGCACGCTGTCTGCAAGGTCCCGATGAATTGGCATTGACTCGGTGGTGGTAGGTTAGGTAGGTTCAGGATAGCGCCTGTCCAGATGAGTTAGGCTAACTGAGTGGTTGGAAAGTGTTCTTCTCAAAGTTTTCCGCACACAGGGAGGAGAATGGCCAAGCTGAAGAACATTGGCTGTGAGGCAGAGGGGCTCTTGTTTATTACGCAACCTCTTCTTGGATTCCGTCTCCTCTTGTAAACACGGAAGGGCTTGGCGCGTCTGCTTCTTTGTCCCTTTACACGTGACGCTGGCACAGAAGCACAACCACGTAGCTCCAATAGATCTTGGTTATGTTGCTTCAAAGGGAGTTGGAGCAAGTGGCAGTAGGGCTGGAGTAGTAAAGGGTAGGGATGGTACCGACTCTTCCCACTTGAAAAGGCAATTTGCCAATCTTATCTGGCAAATGATTCCACCTGCCTGATGAAGGCTGACGGGGTAAACCAAGTGAAAGGAAGGCCCCAGGGACTCCGCCTTGGCCTGCGGGATAAACTGGATACAATATACAGGGGCAAACGGGTTATGGAATGTTCCATAGGAAGCCCATCTGAGCAGCGTGCTGTTGACTTAACGGAGCAGGACCGTAGGAGTCCGGCTTTCAGTGAAGATTAGACGGGAGGATTCAAGGGAGGAGTCTGTCCCTTCCTCTAAAGGTGTGTGGGAAATTGCCTTTTCTTTGAGCATTGCTCCTCACTGCTGCCTTTCTTGAACTCCTGTTTGGAAGCTAATGAATCGGTCTTCCTGGTGCGCCTTAAAGTAATGTCTCTTATTCTCTCCAATAGCCTGCCTCCCTGGACATACTGGGTTTTGCCAGGTAAGACTGGTGAGTGTTGTTCTTGTGTTGCTGGACTTGATGCAAATCTTCACCAATATGCGGTATACACTGTTTCCTCCAATCTCAAGATTAATTGGGACAACGAAATATAAATATAAAACAAAAATAGAGTAAATCACCAACATCCTGAGGGAAGACCATTAAACTGTCATAGGCCATAGTCTTTGAGGCTCTCCCAAAACAAGCAACCTGTCACTATTGGGGGATTTTTTCTTAATAAAAGGCTTTCTGCATCAAGAGCTTCTATGAGGTCGTCTCACTGCATTTCTATGCACTCAGGTACACTCTGCAAAGTGCAGAGACCCGAATCACGTTGTGGGGACTCAGGACTCCAGAACACTCCATTGTGCTCATATGGACTCTGAAGAGAGACCCCAAAGGCAGTTGTTCAAACAGAACAAGGAGCTATTATTGTGCGGCTTAAAATCAGGAGAGTGTGCGCCAAGGTCGTATCCTCCCACCACACATCCTCAGAATGTACACTGAGCCAATAATCTCAGAAACTGGACTACACACGTATGAAGAATTCCACGTCTGGCTTGGAAGAAAACTCATTAACAACATGTGACATGCAGATGACAAACTCCTATTTGCAGAAAGCCAAGAGGGACTGACGGACTTCCTAATGAAGATCCGAGACTACAGCCTTCTGTATGATTTACCTTAACCCTTTCAAGACAATCATTTTATCCTTGAAATTATGTGTTTTCCATAATGGGAGGGATTTTGAAAAAAATTGGAATGGATATAAAATCCATTGATTTTTAATAAAATCATGTGGATTGTGATGCAATTAGTTGAACATATGTACCAAGAAGTCTCTGGAATTGGGTTGGTGGGATGAAGCCTTTTTCTTCAGACTCATGCAATTATACACATTGCCACTAGATGGAAGCACAGACTAAACGTGGGATAGCTGATTCCCACCATATGTCTCCTGGGTCATACGAGTTTAACATTAAAAAAAAAAAAAAAATCTCAGAACTGAAATAAGCAACATGATAAATGAAAAGATTGAAGTTGTGGAGAGTTTCCTTCATTTGGATTCATAATCAATGCTCATGGAAGCTGCAGTCAAGAAAGAAATGAACCGGTGGATTGTACCGGGCAAATCTGCCACAAAAGACCTCTTTCAAGTGTTAAAAAAAAAGCACAGTTGTCTTTGCTTTAAGGACTAAGGTGTGCCTGACTCAATCGTGGTATTTTCCATGATCTCATCTGCATTTGAAAGCTGGACAAGGAATGAGGAAGACCAGAGAAGAATGGGTGTGTTTGATTTACGGTGTTGGTGAAAACTATTGAACAGACCACAGACTTGCCACAGAAGGAACAAATGTGTCTTGGAGGCAGCGCAGCCAGAATGAGGCCAGACCTTGTCTCACGTACTATGGACACATTGTCAGGAAGGACTACTTCCTGCAAAAGGACCTCACGCTGAGCAAAGCAGAGGGCCCGTCCTCGACGCCTCTCTGTGTGGATGGTGTGAGCCCAGGCGGGGTTTCCTTCTGTGGTGCACAGGGTGACCAGTACCTCATAACAGCAGGACACTCTCACCAAAAAATAGAAGAGTGTTTCAGAATCACCTTGGTCAACCTTTTTAAACTATGGCCTTAAAATATAGAGAGATAGATAGATAAAAAATTTTTAAAATACAACCTTTTTATTTACAACTTCCTGTTTTAAAATAGTAGTCCATTTCAAAGGACAGAAAGACAGTGCAGGGGGTCGTTTCTAGTCTTTAACAAGAATGAGCCATACAAATTCAAGGACTCATAAGGCAAATATCTAGTTTGTTCATTTAGAATGCCAATTGCTGAGTGGGAGGATGAAGAAGAGAGAGAGAAAAAACACATTCTTGTTATGTGTTGAATTGCTGCTTGAACAAGCACATTGATTGCAAGACATCAGCTTGTGGGATTGGGAAGTGAAGTTGTTTGTTCTTGTCCCTTGGCCTAAATATCCAATTCCGTACAGTTCTGGTTTCCTGCGTTTGTGAGGCCAGGCTGTCCAAGCTGCTTTCTAGACCCCAGACATTCAGCACAAGCCTAGAAATCCATCCACCGAGGTAAAGGTGAGAGCCAGTGACTGAAACAGCCTCCAAGAACTCCTCTAAGAATGGCCAGATTCTGAGACCTGAGGCACCCAACGAGGCAGCAGCTGGGAGGCCCGTCAGGGCCCTGGGTGGATTTAGCCTCTCGTGTTCTCTAGGGAGACATCTGTGAGAGCCAAGGAGAGGTTGATAGATTCGCAGCTGGAGGTCGTGGATCAGAATCACAGCTCTGTCCCACTGCATCTGAGTGACTTTAGGAAAGCCACCTAACTTTGAGCCGGTCCCCTTATCCACAGGTATAAATAACGAGGGATGCTAATCACCAAAATGTTGAGGAGAAAAGAACGCATGTACACTGCTGAAAAGCTGTAGCTGTTGTTCACACTCTTGGTCACTACCCACCAGTCAGCCCACTGCCCTCCTGTCGGCTCCGACTCCTGGTGACCCCCAGGACAGAGCAGAACTGCTCCCTGGGGTTTCCGAGGCTGTAAACCTTTACCGAAGCCGAAGACCACACCTTTCTCATGTTGAGCAGCTGGTGGGTTTAAATGGCTGACCTTTCGGTTAGCAGCTCCACTCTTTTATTTAAAAACATTTTTTAAAACAGTTTTAGTGACCTATATAATTCACCTATCCCACAATTCAATGATTTAAATATACCAGAGTAGTGCAGCAGCCCAGTTCTTAACCCACTGCGCTCCCCTTGCCAACCGTGCCGGAAGCTCGTTATGATTGAAATAAAGACCTGTCTTAAGTGGGCTGATTTTCTATGTGAACTAACAGCAAGCTGGGGACCAGATGGAAAAAGCACAAGGTATCTTAGGCGAAGAAGAGTTGGAGTTTGGCCAGAGTCTGGCGATAGGCCCCGCAGAGAGGTGAGGTGTCGGCAGCTGTGGCTGGAGAAGTGGCCTCCCATCAGTCTCTAGGACACACATAAAGGGGGGGCCTCACCCTTGTGCCCTGGTGTACAGGGATCGGGCCAGATGGCCAAAGGTCTCTGTCTGAATTGAAAGGCAGCGAGACGCCATCTGCCATTGCTCTCTGTGGCATTCTCTGGGCATGCCTAGCAAAGGCACCTGCTCATTTGCTTGTATTGAACTTAAAGAAGAAAAGTAAACACCCAAGACCCAGCCTGGATGGGACACAGATGTAAGGGCAACCTCCCGCTGACCTCAGACTTTCACGGCCTCACCAGCTGCTGAGGTCAAGGCAGGATAACAATCAGAGAGAAAGAGAGCGAGAGATTAGGCAACACGCTAAACTTTCTTGCCCTAAGACTCCTGACTAAAATCCAGGAGCAGTTAGAGACAGTCCTGCGCCGATCCCTATACATGGAGTGCTGCCTACAGCTGATTGAGGCTGGTCATTTGGAGAAAGGTTGAATAAAAGCACATAACATATTCACCCTTGCTAAATTTAGCATTGTAGGAAAAACACAGGGAAACAGAGTGGGGAGTTTCACCGGTGACAGAAGCCCATGGTTATAAAAATTCAATAGGGGAAGGGAGACAAAAGCAGCAAAATACACCTAGGTGGAAACATTCATCAAAAGGCTGTAGGTACGGTTTATGCTTTCCTGAATCTAATCTAATTGAAAAAGGAGGGGAGCGTATTCTCTTAGATGCACGTAAGGAAGACATTAGGACACTGCAGCTCAGAATAGCTTTCCTCAAGACAAAAAGCAACTGAAATAAAAACTACCAAAACAACACCCAGCAAGTAGATTTTTACAAAATAAAACATTGCCCTCAGAAAGTTGAGTGAAAAAAAATATATTGACAGGCTTTGCTTTTATAGTGAAACTTTTTTAATAACTGGTGCATAACAATACTTGGAAGAAGTCTGAGAAATTAGACAAAAGTATTTGGTGGATTTGAGTTAATGGGCCAAGCAAGCTTTTTTTCCTTGGATTCTCGGTCAAAGGAATCATAGATTGAGTCTTTGGTTAGAGTCTTGGCCGTGGGAGGGATTTCTGAAATGCCCACATAGTTTTTTTTGGCCATCCTTGAACTGGTTGTGATTGTATAGGCATTGCTCCGGTAACATTTCATTGAGGACATGCAAAAAGTCTCTTTCATCCCCCTCCTGAAGTTGGCGTTATAAATCGAATACAGAGTCGGCTTGGAGGCTGAAGAACTAAAGGATATCCAAGTGATGGCCGTGAAGACAAGGGAACTGTGCCTGTGGTCCTGCTCACGGGGGTGCCAGAGCTGAGCGACGTGAAAAGGCAGCCAGGAGAGCAAGAACAATAGGTTCAAAATGAGGAACATCTTGATGGTTTTCACTTTTGTCCTCGGGACAATGTTCATTGTCCTCCGCACTGTCCTGCCATCAGCGCCCAGTCTCCAAATATACTTGATGACCCGTTGGTAGAATAAGATGATGAACACAGATGGAATCACAAAGCCCACCAAGAAGTGGACGACGGCATAGGCAGTGCCTTCCCAGGAGGAAGGGAGGAAATAGTCACAATGGCTGTCCCAGCTGGAGCCGTAGAAAAAGAAGACGGGGGTCACCAGGGCGGCATCGAAGATCCACGCGGCCGCGGCCATCCTCTTGGCCTTGTCCCTGGACACCTTGAAGCTCAGCGGGTAGACGATGGTGTAGAAGCGGTCTATGCAGATGGAGAGGAGCACGTAGATCTGCACGCCCGGGGTGAGGTACTGAAAGTAGCGCACGGCCTTGCACATGGCACTCCCCAGCGTCCACCTCCCGGCCGAGAGCTGCAGCAGGACGAAGGGCGTGCTGGCCGTGCTGATGAGAAGGTCGGCACACGCCATGGAGACCACGAAGTAGTTGGTGGTGGACTGGGTCCTCCTGCTCCTGTGGATGACCAAACAAACCAGCGAATTGCCAAAGACGGAAAACAACCAGAGGCTCCCAAAGAATATGCTGGCGGCAGCCACTTCCCCGGGCTTCAGGCCGTACTGCAGCTCCGTCCTGTTGCTGTCCCACCCGCGCTCCTCGGGGACTTCCATCCGGTCATAGCTTGGCAGAGCGGTGGCTGTTTCGGAGCAGCTGTGGTTCTGCAGGGGCACCGGGAGCGTAGGGGTAACCAAAGGCGGCTTGCTGTTATCCATTCTTTGAGCAAAAACCATATTCACCTTTGCCTCTTAGCTCTGGAGAGGAAAACAAGAAGGAGGTCCTCTGTTAAAGGGTGTCATACAGGTTGCTTCCTAAGGTTATCTTACTGGACACGCGGGTTGTCATGTGTCTCTGAGTAAGGTGTGCCCGTTAAACATGACTACATCTTACGATTTCTAGCCCCAAGGTGCTCAGGCCGCTACTTCTCGTTGGCTTTAAGAGTGGTTCCCAGCTCAGGTTCTCTCGGGCCTTACCCTCTCTTCCAGAACCCTTAGTCAGTGTGCTCGAACTCAGCCCGAGCCGTCACTCCCTGGGGAAGCAGAAGCTCGGGGTTCAAACCCGGCTGGTGGTGAGGGCCTCACCCCACTGAAGGAGCTCTCGGAGTTCCCGGCAACTTCGTGAGAAGAGCCTGCAGGTTGTAACACAGAGTAATGAGGCTGCGAGAGAGGAAAACTTGGGCAGATGGAAACACAGTTGTCAGCCATGGAAATAGCTACCCGGAGCCTGTGAAAAGGCCGACTGCCTACAGAGAGTGCCCTGTCCTGACTCACTGCTGAATTTCCCTCCCAGAAGCACGAGGTGGCATACGAAGCCAGCATCGCACTGCTTCAGGGGCCAGAAGTAGCTCCTACTTTAACAACATCTGAAAACACCCTATTGTTGTCCCCCCACCCCCTAAAACATGGTGTACTTGGCCCTCATCAACAGCATCAAACTTGATGCTGATCTGCTGTTGTTTCATAAAATAACGCAGTGGCTGAAAAACATACGTGCCGTCCTCCTCTAAAGAATGTAGTCAGGTTCCTAGAGACTTATGGTGAGCAGATGATTAAAAACAACACAATGTAGCCGTAAACAGGACTCAACAACGTTTGAAATGTTATGGTCCATAGGTATAAGAGAATACCATGTTTTTTAGCCCTTGTCCTTTTTTGGTCTTGTTCAGGGAGGGGGAAAAGCAACCACTTTTAATTGGTAAAAAGAGTGTCTGATGCGGGCCAGTCAATTAAAATGGATGTGATTTCGGTCATAGTCTGTTTAGTGAGGTTTATTTTGGCCAAACTCTGTTAAGCAGAAAAAGAAGAGCATATTAATTATGCTTCTTAAGATAAGGAATATGGATAAACAGATATTTTCAAAAGCCACTAAAGTAAGATGCCCCTCTGGGGTTCTGGGCTTTTGACGGCCAGTGGCTTGTTTGCGTTTCATCTGGCCTACGGCACAAGGGTGTCGATCCACAGCAGACTCAGAGAACACTTGCCCTCTGGGTGGGCTCCTGTGGTCCCACAAAGATCCGTTTCTGAAGTTTTCGAAGTGGCATTAAAGAACAGTTCTTAGAGACCCATTTTTCCCTGCAAGGTTTAGCACTAATTTTTAGTAGGGAAACAAATGTTAGCAACAGAGAGATTGCCGTCACAAGAAATGATATTCAAACAGAAATGTGGTGAAGGGAGACAGCAAATAGTGTAAGACATGAAGTAACAACGACGCCGTATCATTGATCATTCACGAGGGAGGAAGGCAGGGAGGGAGGGGAAAGAGGAGCTGATACCAAGGGCTCAAGTAGAAAGAAAATGTTTTGGAAATGTTGATGGCAACATAGGCACAAGGGAGCTTAATATATTTGAATGATGGATTGTTATAAGATTTGTAAGAGCCCCTCCACTTAAATGATTAGTTAAAAAAGAAAAGAAATGATATTCAACCAAAGCCCGGAGCGCAGCGCCATAAACTAAATGTGAGCTCCATATGCGGATAGGAGCGCGTGAGATTTTTTTAATTAAAAAAAATTAAATCCACTAAAAAGGCCTGTAAGCATGATTGGCCAACTGATAGTCTAACTGTAAGAACAGTAATCACATTCCCCATATGAGAAATCAGTCTGAAAACAGGACATGTGAGTCGAAGCTGTCACCATCCTGGAGACCAAGGCACGTTTGATGCTCATAAAACTGAAATAACTTCGCTCTCATCTGTGTAAAGTCTGCAAAATCCTATTAAAAAAAGAAGAATTTAAAGTTTAAAAAAATGAAATGAAATGAAACAAGCAAGCCATTTCTCCAGACAGAAGGGGGCTGTCCTAAACTTTTTGGACACCCTGTGGCTTAAAGAAAACGGTGCCGATTGATCCTATCGCGCCCCTTCTCAAAGAGTGGTGTTTTTTCAGTAAATAGACACACTTTCAGACCCATCTGTTTAAACGTTCCTGTCTCTTTCCCCTCTCACAGCAAACAGTGCACTCCAGTCACAGCTGCAAGCAAACCTGCCCCAGCCTCCTGTCCGCCAGCCAGAGCGGCTGCCTCTTCCTCCAGCAGCAAGCACAGGGCCCAGGTGCTCAGAAACACCACACAGCAGCCCCGGAGGTTCCACGTCCAGGTCCCCAGTCATGGTGTACCTTTTCTGACGCTGCCAAAACTTGCTGCAGCTCTGCTTATTCAGTCGATAAGCCAAGGAGTTGTGGTAGGTGACAGGGAAACAAAGACGAGCACAGTTTTTAAATCAGGATAAAAGCATAATTAAACAACTATAACAACTGTTTAAAACACAACAACAACAGCAAACAACAGCAGCAAACCAAACTCATGGCCATCAGGTGCATTCTGACTCATAGTGACCCTGCAGGACGGAGGAGAACTGCCCCTGTGGGTTTCCCAGGCTGGACATCTCTCCCCGAGAAAAAGCCTCCTCTTGCCCTCACGGCGCAGCTGGTGACTCGAATTGCTGACCTTATGGTTAGCAGCCCAACATGTAACCCAGACGCCACCAGGGTTCATAAGAATAATTAAGAGCTGGAAACAGAGAGAGAGAGAGACACCCTGATAATGTAGTGGTTCTGCGTTGGACTGCAAACCACAAGGTCAGCCGTTGGACACCACCAGCTGCTGCTTGGGAGAAAGACTGGCCTTCTACTCCTGAAGAGAGCTACAGTCTCCTTCCGAACCACTAATAAAGAACCCAACAATCCCAAGGGTTGATACAAATGTGGGGAAACCGGAGTCCTGTTCCATTGGTGGTGTGCATGTTTCCACTGGTTTTCTGGGGACAGTTAGACATATACTTTTCAACTGAGGTTTTGCTGTCTTGCTTATTGTTATTCTGATTGCCTGGCTCATTGTTGTTGTATTTTTCTTTCTGTGAAACTCAGGAAGCATAAATCTAGAGACCGTAACTGGATGAGTAGTTTCTTGGACTTCAGGGGAAATGGGGAGCTAATAACAAACAGAAGAACATTTAGAAAAATGTTCTAAAATTGACTGTAATGATGATCGCACAACTATTTTCAATACGTTTTAACTATTGTATGATATGTGAATCATGTCAATAAAACTTAGAAAGAGTACAGCCTTTCTTAGAAACCCACAGGGCAGTTCTACCCTGGCCTAGGGGGTCACTGTGAGTCGGAATCGACTGATGGCAGTGCGTTTGGGTTTTGGTTTTGGGTCAAGGTGCTAAGTAGTGCAGGAAAAAACAGGGACCCATTCTTGCCTGAGGTGGAAGGAGCTAAGGACAGGCTTTACGAAGGAGGTCAGGGGACAGAGAAGGAACAGCAGTTCTCCAAGAGGACCAGGAGTTAGCAGCACTCCAGGGGAGAGTTAGCATGAGGTGTGAAAGAGAGACAGCATGCAGGATCATTCTGGCCTCCTTTCCGGCTCGATCTCCTATGGGCCTGTCCTTTGGAAACCCCGTATCCTCTAGCCCAAATGCCTCTGAACGCCTAATGTCTAAATGCCGTCCAGCCAGACTGATCTAATTTTCCCAAGCTACAATGAGATGTTTTCTTTTCCGCACTCGTGGGCCACAATGTTCGGTTTCCAAGACTGTTTTACTTTGGGAGCAACAGCTCTGGAGCTCAGGAACACTATGGGATCTCCCAGGGAGCTCTAGGGAATGCTGATTCCTGGGTCTCCGCCCCAGAGAGTCTAAGTTAATCGGTCTGCTGTGCAGCCTGGTATCGGGATGTTTCCAAGCCCTGGGTGATCCGAATATGCAGGTCAAGTTGAGGATCGCTGTTTTAGAATGGCTTGCATGCTTCGGCCTTCCCCATGAGGCTCCCTGGAGAAGGGCGCTATAGTTCTCTACATGAATAACTGCTCATTAAATATTTACTGAATGTAACCTGTAAGGGCTGAGAACTGAAATGACTCCGGTTCTTTGCGGCTCTGCTGCGTTTTATGCAGGGAGAAAACCGTTGTGTGCTCTCAGGAAGCTGACCACTGGTGACCGTGGTGCCAGGGGAAAGCATGTTCTTGGGAAGAGCAGGGGCTCCAGTGAGCCTAGAGCCACCCAGGTCAACTGCTATGTGAACTGGATCCCCCTTCTCAGGGCGAGGGGAGATGCTCGTGTGGGTGTCCTCCCCAGACCAGCTATCCCACCGGCCACAGTGCACCTGTATTCCAGGATCCTAAAGTAAACTTTCAGAAAGGGCTCAGTTAACTTGGAAATGTGTCTCCGGGGGGCTCTTACCCATGGGATACTGAATGCACCGGCTTCTGTAGTGAGGGGGTCCTGAAGAGCCTGGGGGAGGGGGCAGACAACTTTGTTTGTGTGGGGGTCACCGTTAGGGTTTTATTGTGCTACATTTTATATCTAAGAACTTTCCCCCCCTCTTTCAATAGGTTAAAGTAGGGGTTCTCAATCAAGGCGGCACTTTGGAATATTGACTTTTAAAAAGTGGCAATCCGAAAAAAATAAAAAGTGGCAATTCTTTTCAAAGTATTCAACTACCGAGGAACCTCCTAGATTGTTTACATCTGAGTCTCTAGGGATTGTCTCTTGGGTTGCTTCATGTCCTCATAAAGACACATTGCCACCGAGTGGATGCTGACTAGCAGCAACCCTGCCTGTGGTTTCTGAGGCTGGAGATCTTACAAGGAGCAGATAGCCCAAGGAGTAGCTGGTAGATCTGAACCACCGACCTTCCATTGAAGAACCTAACGCCTAGCACAGCCACCAACCCCCCCCCCCCCAGGTTTCCTCGAACACTCCCTTCCTCCTGCTACCCCCCACCCCCGACCTCCTGGGAAATTTGAATGTGCTAAAAGGTATTGCTTTATAGAAACCCCAAATCCAATGAGTTGGTCTTTTGAATCTTTCAGAAGACGTGTGCTTTAACAAGCTTTCCATTTCTCTGATGAAACTATACTACAGTCTCTGCCCCTGACCAGCACCAGAACAGTGCTGTGGGAGAACGTGCCCTATCACTTTGTGTGGCCATTTAATTCTGTGTGTTGCCTTCCCTTGAGGCTCCTATTTCCTTCATTGCAGGGACTGTCTTTATCTCTTTATCCCTGGGACACACAAACACTAATCAAGACAAATGGGATAAACAAACAGATCACCCAATACTTGGAGATAAAGAACATGAAAGTACAGCACCCTTTGCACATCACGCTGGGGCACTGCGCAGGGAGCCTCGCCGAGGCACACGGAATTCTCGGCGAGAATGTGCCTGTGTTCGATTTTTCCATTTACAATTTTACTAGAGTCCCGATGCTGTGAAGTTACACGTTAGCCTGTAGACTTCTGTCTGGCAGGAAAAATAGCCCATGGTTAGGGTCTTATTACTCTGTGGTCCATTAGCCTCTCAGCTGTCTTTGGCGACGGCGGCAGTGCTATTCTGCCATGGGTCTCACCAACTCAAAAGTCAACTCGATCCCACCTCATAACAATAACATAGAGGCTAGTGTTCTTCATTCTTAACTTCCTAATACCTATAACTATCCCTTCCTCAGAGGTTCCTGGAACAGGTTTATGATTTCACAGGTTCCCTCAGGAATGAGTAAATAGATGTTTTGACACATGTTTGTTTTATATTTGCATGAGTCATCATTTTAACGTTTTGAAAATAACACTTCGTTGGCTGGATACATAAATGAATGGCTGGAATGAATGAGAAGGAGGCCTCACCGCTCACTGCCACGGAGTGGATCCCGGCTCTCAGCGGCCTGGAGGACGCAGGGGAACTGCCCCGTGGTTCTCGGAGGCTTCCAATCTCTATGGAAGCAATAGACTTCATCTTTCTCCCGTGGAGTGGCTGTGGGTTTGAACTGCTAACCTTGTGGTTATCGATCCAAGGCACAATCCACGATGCCACCAGGGCTTTGGGGCAGGAAGAGGGGGACCACATGTAGGAACCGAAGGGCAGACGTGGTTGAACTCACAGTTTTGCCAAAGGCGACTCCTGGCTAGACACAGCCACGGCTGGGTAGGTCTCTCCTCGGCTGAGGAATGAATGGGCTCACCCAGCGTGACCGTGAGGCCCAGGCAACGGTCTGTGCACAGGATGGCTGCGCCAGAACCCCCTTGATGGCACCTAACACCAACAAGGCCTAGAAAATCCTAATCCGAATTTGCTGTGTAGACTTCCAGTAAAAATAAAACCAAATCAAACCCTAAGAACTGATTATTTTCCTTCCCGAA